GGCTCGCCGCTCCAGGAGCGCGCGGCGCAGAAGCGGAGGGCTGCGCCGTCTCCCTCGGGCGCCGGAGCTTCTCTTTGCGCCTACCAGGCACCCCCCCCTCGTGTGCCCTCAGGAGAACCCCCCCTGCCCCATTCAGCAGAGAATGGCTGGCGCATCCAGCCTCTGCTTCGAAGGCAGGGGACCTTGCCAGCCCTCTGGACCCTGGTCGCCTCTGTCGGGCGAGTCACCCTGCTGCGGGTGGCACCCTGCAAAGACTGGAAAAGGATGCCGGGCTGGTGGGTGCAGGCTTTCGAATGGGTGCGCCGGCGCCGGGGAGAAAGCCCCCCCCCCGAATCACGGTGGCATTTCCACAGCCAGGTCACCACAAAGAGAAATGGCTCCAAGGAGTCGTTAAGCGGAGGCGTTTGGCGACCCTCTAGGGCCAGAGTGAGACAGCGCTGCGATTGGCATCCGCGGCTGCTGAAACTTTGCCTGAGCGAAGGGTCATGTAATGGCTGTTGGAACAGCAAGGGCTGGGTTTTGCGAACAGGCTGGGGAGGTCTAATTGTTTAATTCAGATACGGTAAATTTGGGAAGATACAGCCAAGGATATCTTGGGGTTTGGTTCATCTTTGTACCAAATGATCTAGAGCAGGGTTTCTCAACCTTGCTGGCTGGGGAATTCTGGGAGTTGGAGTCCACCCCTCTGAAAGCTGCCAAGGTTGAGAAACCCTGCTCTAGAATTTGCAGCTTCAGACACAAACGTGGCTGACTTGCCCACACAGACCGTAATTGTTTGCGGCAAGGAATAAACAACCAGTGCAATTCCAGAGAGAATCGCCTGCCTTATCCACGATATTATTTCAAGGGCACAATTATTTAATCAGGACACAGTTATTTTCTATTTCAAGCAAAGAGCCGTAGAGAGCTTTCCAGAGACGCAAGCTTATAAAATGAAATCTGATACCTGATGCCTTCCAGAGATTGTAAACTACAACTCCTATCTGCCCTGTGACGGATAGGAGATGTCCAAACTATCTGTGGGACACAAGATTGTATGTTCCTCTCCCCCATGCAAGGTCTGTTTTTATTGACACTCAAAGCCTACGAAGGAACAGTGGAGCCCCCAATGGTTGGGTGAGTTCATTATTCCAATCAGATGTCATAATTAGATTTCTGAGTGCTCCGTTGTAGTGGGAGGAGTGGGACTTTCACGTCCAGAAAATTAAAGTACATATCTAGAAGAAAAAGAAAAACTTATTCCCTAGTGAGACCTGTGCATAGAGTCACAATTTGTTGGAACTTTCATAGATCTGTTTTCTCACTGCTGCATGACAGTGAGTTCTAGAACTATGGAAATTGCCAAAATATCTTCACATACAATTGTATTTTCTGCTGTTGCTAGAAGTATATAGCTTTTTTCCCCTTCTTTTTCTTCTTTAGGGAGCCGTGTTAAGAAATAGTTCAGAAATTTTTCAATTCTGGGAGAATCCTCCATCACCTCTTCTCCTGCAGGTCTATTTTTTTAACTTGACTAATCCTTTAGAAGTGCTTCAAGGTGAAATTCCTATCGTCAGGGAAATTGGGCCGTACACATACAGGTAATTTGACTTGCTTCATTTGCAGCCTTACGCAGAGGGTTTAGCGGAGATTTCCAATGGAAGGTTCCCAGGAAAGAAGGGAATGTTTGGAAGCAGTTGTGAATTTTTGCTGACCCAAAGAAAAGAGCTTGCAATTTACAGTAAACGGTTGGCGTGGGATTTGTGAATGGCATGCTTCTAGCCCTCATGGATGTAAAATATGTGGTGAAGTTGCGGAGAGCATTCTGGGCTGGATTCTCGGTAACCAGGAATGGAGGAGAGGCTCACACCATATTTTCAGAACTGGTTGTGATTTCAGTGGGAGCCAGAGAGGAACCATGGGCCATTCTCGGTGGTAAAAAAAATGGGCAGAGCCAAGTTCAACCCCTGGTACCTCCAAGTCTTGTGGCTGAAACCCTGGAGAGCCTCTTGTGTCGAGGCTTCATGCCTTGACAACAGGGTTCCTCAACCTTGGCAAC